CCACCACAAGTTTTTAATTGAAAACAGGGAGGAAGTTCTGGAAGTTCTGTCTAGCGAACTGTCTTGGGAGGCTGGCATTGCCTTACACAGCTTGCATTTCCTTCATGCTGTCCCTCTCCCTTACTATCCTAACTGGGCTCCTTTGCTTGTACTTCCACTAGGAATTGAGTCCATTTTGTGGGATCAGTTTTCCCATACTCTTTGACTGCTGGAAAATCCTAAGGATTATTACCCACAATTTCTGGTGACATTTTGTGTGCTTTTATTGTTTATGCCACAGACAAATTCAAAAGTAGACATTAATATTTAATCTTCCTTGCACCTTGGCTTTAGTTAACTGTAAACTCCTGAGTTAGGTATCTTGTTTGTCATGAAGTTTTTGAGGGAACTTGCCACAAATGGTGGTCTTAGTTTAAGCAGGGAGGGGGGAAAAGAAAAGGAGAACAAGGTTGTATTTATGTGTGATTGCTCTGGCCTTTAAAAAGAGTAGTATTGGTAATTCATTTCCCAGTGTTTGAATTCATTTCCCAGTACTGGTAATTCATGGTTGAAAAGATTAGCATTGCATCTGGATTTTCATACATGGTGCTATGTTTCTGATGTGGAAAATGTGAATCAATTTTATTTGCACAGATCATCCGACTTGTATTATTCAGGAAAACAAATATGTGCTTCATGAGTAAATATAAGGTGACCACCTTTTTACAATGAAAAGGACACAAATAAATTGAAGAAAAAACAAAAAAAAAAACAAAGCCACTTGCGTGCGGCGCACTCTCTCAAAACAATTCTCCTGTGTGGAGCACTTGCATCTCATAATCGCATCTCGCCGCATTGTACCGAGCCTTGACAAATCGTCATGTCAAATACAAATATGTCACATCACACACAACAGATCGGATCAGCATCGATCAAATACAGAGATTTACAGATTAGTCTTCAAATATCAAAAAAGGAGGATGTGTAGGAGGACACTTTTTGAGAGAGGACAGAAGTTACAAAAGGAGGACTGTCCTCCCTAAAGGAGGACGGTTGGTCACCTTAGTAAATAGCAACAGTAATAGCATTTAAATTTACATTCAGCTTCATAGTACTTTGCTCTAAACGGTCTACAGAGTCAGCATATTGTCCCCAACAATCTGGCTTCTCCTTGGAAGAATGGAAGGCTGTGTCAAACTTGAGCCCAGTCAGGATCAAACTTCTGGCAATGAGCTGAATTAGCCTGCAATATTGCACTATGCCACCATAGCTCCCACATAAAGAGAAAACTATTTAGCATGTAGTGATAATTGGATCTGTACCCCAAGAACAAATTTAGCATCAGGATGCTTACAGTGCTTATAAAGACCCATAGCATTTTGAGTCTATTTCTTATTGGTTTAACTTGTGCTTTTGCGTTATATTATTAAATTTTATATTTTCACACATACAAAGGCTCTGTCCCTATACAGTCTGTTAAAGCACTAACTAGTCACTTTTCTTTTCTAGAATGTCCTGACAGTGTATGGAATTTTTTTTTTTTGCTTTGTTTCATTGTACATGACCTGTCTGTTTAGAGATCATGGAAGGGAGCTTCTTACTGATGCTGACAATGGCATCTCCCAGGCAAGGCTAAATTGTAGTTCCTCATTTTTTGCTTTCTCCTAGCGCATCTTTTCATCACTGCTTTCCACAGTCAACACACCTTTCCCCATACAACCCCCTTTCTCTGTGGGTCTTCATCCTCCCTCCCATGGTCATTCCCACATAAACTATTACAGTATCCAATTAAGAGGTTTTTCACCACTATTAAAGGCATCAGGGTAGAGATATCTGCCGGCCGCCATCTCATTCCGAGGAGTAAGTTAGCCTAATTCCATTTCAGGGCTGGGGTTGGAGTTGCAAGATTTCACAGAACCCTTCTTCTATTACTAAACAGTGCTGATGAGAATTTACCATACCCCAGCTGGATCAAATCAGACCCACACCTTTTCTTTTTGGAAGCGGGAAGCAAGGCATGGCAGAAGTTGGCTACTGCAGTGCTCATGGATTCCAGCTAGAGTGTAACGTACCTGGCTCTGTTTCAACCATCTCCCACATTCATCAGAGAAAGCACAGATGGCAAATGTGGCTGAGATTGATAAGAAAGGCTCTTGATATATTCTTGTCTGAGAGGCTCTCCTTCAGCCATGCCGTGCCTCCCATTTCAAGGTTGGCTTCCTGGCTTTCATCTACTGAAGAGAATGGGCTCAGACAAGATGGCAGCAGGATCCTTTGCAACTCTTCTTTTTGGATTCAGAGATGTGTTACCATCACAGAAGGAAAGGTAGTAAATATTACTTCCTCTTTCATCCATGGAGAATAGAATACAATTAATGTTAGGGGTCAGTCTTCTACCTGGGTGTGGATTTCTGTCCCTAAGATCTTCAGTCTTGATTCAGTTCCCAAGCCCTGATGGAACTTTCTCCTACTTGTTCCTCCTCCATGTTAGATTCCTTTGCTTTTTAATAACCCAAGTGCATCATGTACTTCCTCTTTTCATTATTTTCAAAAAGGAGGGCAGAAGCAGCATAATATTTCAGGGATTCCTGGTCTACCTAGTTTGAAACTTATGTATAACTTGTTGATAATTAAAAAAATCATGCAAGCCACATGATTTTGCAGCATATATCCACCTCTGATTCCTAACAGATTTAGTGGGAAAGCCTTTCTGAATGGAAACTGTAAACCTTGAAATTTAATAGGCCTGGAACTGTTATTATTGTAATATACTGAGTTTCAGGAAAGACTGAGTATAAACTCAGCTTGAAGCAGATTGGTTGCTCAGAAAGAATTTCCTTTCCCTTTCCCTTTCCCTTTCCCTTTCCCTTTCCCTTTCCCTTCCCTTCCTTTCCTTTCCTTTCCTTTCCTTTCTTCTCCTCTGCTCTCCTCTTCTCTCCCCTTCCCTCCCTCCCTTCCCCTTCCCCTTTCCTTTCCTTTCTTCTCCTCTGCTCTCCCCTTCCCTCTCTCCCTCCCTTTCCCTTTCCTTTTCCTTTCCTATCCCTTCCCTTCCCTCTCCTCTCCTCTCCTCTCTCCTCTCCTCTCCTCTCCCCTTCCCTCCCTCCCTCCCTCCTCTTTTCCTTTCCTTTCCTTTCCTTTCCTTTCTTCTCCTCTCCTCTTCCCTCCCCTCCCCTCCCTCCCTCCCTCCCTCCCTCCCTCCCTTCCTTCCTTCCTTCCTTCCTTCCGGAGAGGAATGTACCCTTTGAAGAAATGTATAAGATAGCTATTAGTTCAAATGACAAGCTTTCAGTTTGCTGACTGGTGCCTGTGTCAGCACAAACAATTGTCCACAAAGAAGTGTACTTGTCTTCAGTTAAATTATATAATTGCCTGTTAGGTGGAAATGGTTAAAGGAATAAGAGATAATGGTGAAATAGGCCCTGTTGTTTAAAACTAGCTTTGTTTCCTCTCCTCTTTTCCCTAAAAAGATTCCGAACATGCATTTTTTAGATGGAGCCATACAGGAGCCCTCTCAGGGACAGCTGTACTGAACAGAGGGAGGTGCATCAGATTGCATATGCTGGAAGGCATGGGGGTATTGGGGTGGAGAAAGGTAGGAAAGTGTTGGGGGTTGGGAGACTCGTGTGTGTCAACCAGCCTTCCAGTAGCTGGTAGATCTTGGCTATATTGTCATCTGCTTCAGAATAAAATTCAGCCACAAGTGCTGTCAGCTTTGCATATGGAACTGGAGAGGGTGGTATATAGTCCATCATTTCAGGCAGCATCTTCTTTTGTGCCAGCTCCGGATTGAGGCGGTTTGGACCACTGCTGTTTTTTTCCTTCTTGTGCGTCATTTGGCATGGCTGCCTCCTGTGCCACCTGGACCACAGAATCCTTGGTGACACAGCAGGGGGATTTGGGATGCATTTTCACTTAAGTACAAGAATGTTCAGTTTTGAAAGCAGCTAAAAATGTCAACTGATCCTCGGATCTGGTTCTTGTGCTGAAAACATCATTTATCCTAATGGTTCATTATGGCTGTATGATAGACAATATATGAACAATACTCTAAATGGCCCCTGTCAAAGTCAACCCCAACCCATTTAGTTTATTTATTGGATTTATATCTTGCCTCTCTATCAGTTTATCGATCAAGGAGACGAGAAAAACAGGGAAATGAGAGAGGGATCTTCCTCCCTCCCTCCCTCCCTCCCTCTCCCTATGTTGCTCTCTTAGACTTTGGCTTAGCCTAAGCTGGCAAATTTCCAAACTTTCCAGAAGCAAGATGAAACAGGATTCTGGATAAAGAGGGTGCAGTACCCTTTTGGGGTAGGGATAGGGATGAGGGTGAAATCAGCTGGAAGGCAGATTATTTTGCTTACATCTTTTTGTCTACTTTTACCCAATTTTAAGCTGCATTTTTGTTAGTTAGTGTCTAGTGGCTGTTAATGCCAAGGATAGCAAATCCGAGCTGCAAAAGCATGGATAAACAGACTATTTAAAATTACTACGGATTGCCATGATATTTGTAGTTCAGGTGCGAGAGCTTTTGTTAGAAATGGAGACAGCTAAGAAGGGAGGAGTGATGGCAGATTGCCCAAGCGACAGAGTCCGGCAGATTATATTGAGGGAGAATTTGATGATTTTAAAATCTCTGCAATATTGTCTGTCATCTGGCAAGAAGTGATGGAGGGAGCTGACTTATCAAAGGAGTGAATCTCTCTCTCTCTCTTTTTCTTTTCTCACATTCAGCATATAGACTTTTGCAGTGTCCTGCAAAATTTGGAGTATTAAATAAACAGGACAAGTCCTTTGTAGGCTAATCTGGGCAATATTACTCATGTCAAGCTTTGGGCTGATCCTAAGCTGAAAAATAACTAACCCCTTCCTTTGTAAGTCAACAATCCATTTTGAGCATACATTTTCGTTTACCTTTATCCCTCGCGTGTTACTCCATACACTTTCTCCTATTTGTGCTAGCTCATTCTTGGGGTAGATGGAGTTACTTTATGGGTGCTCTGTCTTTTTTCTCTCCTTTGCAGTCTTGGGGACCAGTTCTACAAAGAAGCCATAGAGCACTGCCGCAGTTACAATTCCCGTCTCTGTGCTGAGCGTAGTGTTCGTCTTCCATTCCTGGACTCGCAGACTGGTGTTGCTCAGAATAACTGTTACATATGGATGGAAAAGAGACATCGAGGACCAGGTACAAATATGACCTGTGGGAAGCTATGTGGGCTTCCTTTACTAGGAATGTTAAAGTTCTGAGCAGCCACTTTTTGAAGAACCAGCCTAAAATGGCTGACTTGGTAGCCACAGAATATGAGAAAGTCTCGATTATTCTCCCAGTTTGCATTCTGTGCCAGTGTAAAGCCAAATTTTGTCCTACCCCCAATTTATATTACTCCAGCTTGTTTATTTCTATGCAATGGAAAAGCAGTACTTAACAGAGTTGACAATTCATTAAAACATTTATTGAACAAACCCATATTTATCAGACCTTGGAGGCAATGAACAAATTTTAACTCTGGACATCCTCCCAAATCACATAGAATCTTGCTGCATCAGAGGTAGTCTGGATGAAACAGTTCAGTTTATTTTCATTTATTTTAATGAGCAATTCATATTGTCGGTGTAGTGATGTCATTACACCAAGAATTTACATGATTTTATGTAATGACATCATTACATCAACATTATAAATTGATGAAAGGGATATTTTCATATTTAACAGGCATTCAGATATAATGGACACCTTCCGTCATTTAGTTCCTTAAATCAAAAGTTTAATTGTATTAAACAGAGCTGAGAGGAAAATACTTTTGAGACACCTGAGAATAGCATACATTATTTTTCAAAAGAGAAATCCACAAATGACCACTACATCCACTAATCCACAAAGTCACTATTTTGAAAGACATTCAGTTTGAGAAAGAGCTTGACTTGCAACTATAATATAAAAGTAAAGTGATGTATTATATGGAATTCTGTGGTTTCCTCCTTCTGGTGTGTGTGTGTGTGTGTGTGTGTGTGTGTGTGTGTGTGTGTGTGTG